ATAAGCATTTTGAATGGTTCTGAATTAGAACAGTAGTCTTTTATAAGAAAAGGCCTGGGAGAATCTTTATCTTTTTTGAAGCTTTCATTTAAACATGCTTATTTGTAAGCTGAAGTTTGAAGATGAATGCGTCTGGAGAGAGACACATTCATCTTCAAACTTCAGCTTACATTTAAGTATCAGATCTGACATCTCTTACATATTTCAGTCATACCATGTTCCCCAATCCATTTCGGTATCTTCCCCTCCTTTGGTTCTGGACACTCTTATTTCCAGTCCTTGGTGAACCCCTTTATCAGGAGGGCCTTTATGTTTGCCCGGCTGAACATTTTCCCTTCAGAGGTTCTTAAGGAACGATATGCTTGGGTACCTTTCGAGCAAAGAATCTGCAATTTCTGCGGTTTAGAGCCCGACTCAGTCAAACACATTCTCTGTTTCTGTCCTGAGTTTAAAGATATTCGTGCTTGTATCTTAGGCCCAATCATTTCAGACTTTTCTGGCCCTCCCCAGCTACTCACAGGTTTCCTCCTTGATGACTACTCACAAGAAAAAATGGCCTTAGTAGCCGAGTTTTTTGCAAAGGTTCTTTTCTCCCAGGTCTCTAAAAATTAACCAGACAATCCCAAGTATCCCCTGTCATGTTTCTTGTTACATTTTTAGCCATGTAACTACTATGTTTATTCCTATTTATTATTATTTTTATTAACTTTTTATTTATGTGCTTTTAATTTTCCTATGCCAATAAAGGTTATTGAATTGAATTGTTGTATTTCAGTCATAAGTTTCTTTGTTTCCTTTAGCCATTGTCTAAAACAGATGATGATCTTTTTTATTAATATAAGAGTATAAAGAGTTGCATTAAAGGAAAGTCACTGGAGTCAGGTCTAAACATAATCCTGGGTATGATTTTTTTAAAATGAATTGTAATTACCGTGTTTCCCCAAAAAATAAGACAGGGTCTTATATTAATTTTTGATCCAAAAACGCATTAGGGTTTATAAATCTACATTTATTCAAATACAGTCACGTCATCATCATCTGGTTGCTGCACAATGGTGGAGGGCGGGGTTTCACTTAGCTGGGGCTTATTTTGGGGGTAGGGCTTATATTACGAGCACCCTGAAAAATCATACTAGGGCTTATTTTCAGGTTAGACCTTATTTTCGGGGAGATAGTGTATCAAGCAATGTAACCTCTAATCTTCAGTCCTGCTGGGTGGGGCTCTGCCTCTCTCACACACAACTTTACCCCTGTGTGTGCGTACGCTCGACTCGCCCCTGCATACAGGATTCCATTGCAACCAGAACCAAAGAGATTGGATGTGATCACTGCACAGAGGAGGAAGAGAGCTGGACTTAGGGAGGTGGAGTTGTACGAGCCGTAGGCCCGACTCAGAGGGAACCTTGGTGTCAAGACTTCTGCCTCATGGCATGGCATAGCGTAGTATTTTCATTCAGTGGAAACATGCTAATCTGAGTGGTAATGTTTGATAAAATAAAGCAGTAGCATCTAAATATTAAAACAGAACTTTGAAAAGAGTTGTGAATGTACGGTATTATTTCATAAGACAAAATATGATTGATTACTACATTTCTCTTGACATTGAAAAGAAACTAGACATGGCAGTGGAGTCTGCTGCCTTGAGTGCTTGCACTTTAATGGAGAATCTATAGCAGAAAATTGCATTCCTGTGCTTTGCTTAGGCTTTCACTTCAGAGCAAGGAAAATATACAGCAGTGTTTGTTTTACTAATAAAAAGTGCAGCATAACGTCTTATGATATTATGAGGGTGTATCACTTGAGAGGGTAGATATTTTAGGTTATTGAATATCTCATCTGCAACCCCAAAGTCTGCTTTAGGACAGCTTTACTGAAAAAGTAGCAAAGACATCCTTCATTGGTAGAATCCTAGAAATGTCATTTTGAATATATACACCCTACCCAGTTTTGTCAAACCCAAAACCATGTTGGAAATGTGCTGGGAAAACAAGATGTAGATTCCCACAGTGCAACTTGTTCGAGATGTGAATTGGGCCAAAGCCACTAACATCTCAGAGAAATGGAGATGCAGTCCTCAGCTGTTCCTTGGGATGCTATCTGGCTCAGACCTACGGACGTTACCAGTGTTGTGGTGAAACTCGATGCAAGTTTGTTAATGAGATTCTGTGTCTGTTTCTCTCTGGCCACTTCTCTTGCAGTGATCTGCTGATTTAGGTAGTCACGGCACCAAGGGGTAAGTGGCTAGAGAGTACTGTATAGGTCAGCTCCCATGAGTCATTTTCCTTCCAGCAGGTTGGAATAGTACAAGAGTAGATAAAAATAAATTATTTATTTAAAAAAATAGGTTGTTAAAATTTATAATGGATTTTTAAAACACACAATTATTTTTTAAAACTTATTGTTAAAATGCTTTTAAGAGCAAGAGTTCATGCTTCATTTGCTTCATTTCTTAGAATACTCATGCCATCCTTATCTGTTATTTTCTCATACTGTGCTGCTTGACACACTGAAATCCAGTTTGGTAAAGACAATTATATTTTTAGTCATCTCATGTTTCAGAAAGACTGTATTGTTTAATATCCCTCCTTATTGTTACTTTCCTAGATAACAGTTTCCTGTTTTAATGTTCTTAATGTTCGCTCTCAGATACAGGAAGCATTAATTTATTAATGTTTTGTTGTTTTTAGTCCAGAGCTAGTGGCACTTAGACCAAGAAACGAACACAGTAAATGAGACAGTAGGCTAATACTGGGGAAATGGAACTTGTGACTACTGGCTCACAGATTTTGAGACTTGTCCAAGTGCACACAGTGATCAAAAATAGCCTGTTCACTAGCCAATGTACCATGAGTCATGGTTTGCATCTTTTTGATAGCTACATCTATGGGAGTTTTATTATTAAACACATGCTTGGCAGGGCTTTTCATCATGTTTCATCCCAAAAATTTAAGCAGAACAATGGCAAACAACCATCCATTTTGTACATAGAAGACTCCATAGTTTTCATTGCTTTGAGAAGTGTTTGAATGTCTTTAGACTGAAGGTGCCCAAAGTTTTGTTCACAAACAGCAACAGAAGTTGATGCCTCCTTCCATGAATTATAACAAGCAGTTTAAATTGCCCAACTTGCTCTTGTCCTGGGCAGCAGTAAGAAAGTTAAAAGAAATGATGGAGTAGAAAAGTTAAGGCCTTGTAAAATGAAATCTGGTTTGAGGGGTCCTGTTATTGTTTGCCTTTTTATCATTGTAGAAATAACTGGATATGAAGGGAAAGTGATAAGAAAGTGCTACAGCAGACCTCACTGCCACATTATAAATAAGTAGAAGTCATATGCAGTCCACACGAGCTACATTTCTTCAGAATAAGAGAACTACCATTTTTTTCTTCCTGATAATTGCTTGGTAATTGAGCTTGTTAGCTGAAAACTTAAGTAGCAAATAACCCAATAACAGAATAGTTTCCAAACTGGCTGAGTCCCTCTTGCGGCAGTTTGCTATCATCATTGATATATTTCAAGAAGAACATAAATTTCTGTTATTAGTCCACATGAGTAGTTTAATTAAATTACTAAGTAGTGTTTTTATTTCCTTATCCACAGCAGCATTAATTATTTAGTTATCTAAACATAAAGGGAACGCCAAATAAATACCATATTTATTGGTATTGTAAGTTGGATTTGGTTGACATTTTGCTGTCTAAATGTGGAGTAGTTGAAAGACTTTTAGAGTGGAGAGAACCTTTCAAAATATGAAGAGCTGTCTGCTCCCTATTTCAGTGCTGTTGCATTCTGTTGTGCCCCCCCCAACCCCCCACATTATTTGATGCTTGCATTTTAGGTATGCGTTGTCGCTTTTGAGTTGTTTAGCCTCATAGCATTGTATTTGTTTCCTTCTGCTTTCTGTTTTTAATGGAATGTAGTCTAGCAAAAGCACAGAAGAGAGACATTTCACACATATTCACTGTAGTGCTAAATTATAGCAGCTGTGTTTCTTTCTCTTTGCTAGAAGGCAAAGATGAGCAAAGATGGAAACTGTGGTACTGTGGGAAAACCAGAATGTTGTTTTGGTGGCTGACTGAACGAGTAAGAACTCCACCCTTGATAAGACTGCCTTACATATTCCTAACTATTGGCTTATAGAATAGTCTTATTAAATTATTAGGAGGTGTATTTATTATAAGTTACTTGTATTAGTAATTTCTTCATAATTTTGAGTAGGTTGGATTAACAGTCTTGAAAGAAGACTTTAGGCCAATCATATTGGAACAATACTGTGTTAGTTTTACTGGTCCATTATGCTATATGTCAGAATACTGAAGTCATCATTAGTCCTCTCTTTTTTTCTAGAATTCTATAATTTTTCTACTGAATATGGAAATTATGTGAGAGAAAGAGCAAATTAATTTTGAGGTCTGGCTTAAGAAGTAAAGTTACTGTTTGGGAGTTAATTTGAACTTCAGTAGTCTGCTTTTCTAGTATAGGTGTAGCGCCTTGCACACCTTCTCCCTTGAATTGCATGGTTTTGGTTATACGCAGTTTTGTTTTCAATAAATAAATATTCAGTAAATAAATATTAAATAAATACTGTGCTGCTATTCATCTCCAATAGGTAGTCTGAGAAAGGTGGGTCTTGTACTTACTGAGGCCTCTGTTGGTGATGTGGCAGCCCCCAATCCAATGGTGGTGGCCTGGGCAGCCCCCTTTCCTGGCATGGTGGCTCCACATGATGGCTGGGGAGGGTGCTGGAGAATGCCAGGATGCTGATGTGGGTTGGGAGAGGTTGTGCAGTTAACATACAGTTAATACAGTAAATTCATCTGGTGTGTATCTGTGTGAATCAAGTGTTTGTGCTTTGTAGTTATGTTTTTGTGGTCATAAGAGTTGTATATGGATTATACAGGGGTCCAGTGCCTCTAGCTGCAGCACTGTTGAAGGGAGAAGTGTTATTGCCAATAACTAAAACAGCTCAAACAGGCTTCATATGTAGCTTTTCCCTCAACAGAAGAATGATGAAAATGGGAACTGCTCTGGAGAAGGCATTGAGTTTCCTACAACAAATCTTTATGAACTGGAGAGCAGAGTTTTAACGGATCATTGGTCCATCCCCTATAAGAGAGAAGAGTCTCTTGGCAAGTGTTTAATTGCATCCACTTATCTTGCAAGACTAGGTAAGTGGAAAAAAATTAAGTAGAAGTATAAAAACATTCACTGTTGTCTGCTAACATTAATGATGATATTAACTTGAAATACTGCTAATAGAAGAAAAAAATGAAATAACCGTTGCTGCCTTATTTCCAGATTACATGCTAACTTTAGTTTGTTTAATTAGAAAAAAAATCTGTTCTGAGCAGTAATTTGGACTATACCCGTTTAGTAGAGCTCTATGTGTTTTTAAGTTGTTGCTTTCATATCTTAACTCTATGGAAATTATTACATGCTGTGTAGAATTAGTTAATCTTTTACAGCAAAACAAGCTTTCAACTCGGAAAAATATGAATAGTCATGTTCATCAATGGGAATACAGGAGAAAGCAACGGTTATACAGCATGTGGTAGAAACACTGTTTGGCATCATCCCATGGAAATTTTCCCCTTTGGAATATTTGACAACCCAAGAGTAATAATGATGTACTTGGTCAGATGGGATGCGTAGCAGAACTAAAAAAAACCCTTGATATGCTTCTATAATAAGGAGATATCTAGCTCCCAAATTTTATTTAGGGATGAGTTCCTAGTTACTTCCACTTGACATGAGGTGAAACCGAGTACAAAATTCCCTTAGTTAAGGCAGGCACACCAGTGAAACAAGCCACCCTTTTTAAATGCCGAAGCCTGCTTATACCCACTGCAGTGGTTTCACTGCCAAGCTGTGACATATATATATATGTGCACATACATCTTGCTCATCAAATTCCATGAATGTAAATCATTATTTAGGGATGCCATATTCCTGCAGCTGCCGAGCATTGGAACCCCTACCCTATAACACCAGCCTGTTGTGAACTTCTAGAATAAGTTACAAACATTTCTGGGGTTCTGTTGATGTTGAAGGGGAGGAAGAAAGAATAATGACATTTTGTTTTATGTGTAGGTTGTTCTAGATTTGTACTCTTCAGAGTGGCATGATACGGAGATTGAATTTGTCAGATCTAACATCAACTCTGCACTGGATAGCTTGCAGCCTGTTACTTTCTCATAGCTTAAGTTACTGGGGTCAATGAGAAAGGAAACCATACATTACACATTGAACTCAATGGAGGAAAGGCAAGGTGTAAATGTAGTAAATGGGTGTGATGCAGGAAGATTGTCTCCATTTCGGGGAAGCAGTTGACATAAGTGTGGGCAGTACTGAGCTTTTGAGGTATCTGTTGTCTGACTTAATATGAATATGAGCTGCATTTTAAAAAGTGTGCTGGTAGGTTTAGGCCTGCAATGGATTGGTGCCACTTTTTCTCCAACTCTTATCGCCTCCTTGATTTTAATTCAGTGTGCATGGAGACAGACTGAATGTTCTAGGAAATGAGTGAAAGGTTCACTTCACATTCTTGGAGTCAATTTCCTTTAATAGTTCTCAAGAGAAAAAAGTAGCCAAGAGTCTGTTTTTCTTTTATAGAAGACTGACTGGAATAGAAGTGGAAGGGTGGGCAGGAGGACAGAAGTGGCAGAATGTACATTGCTGTATTCATACAATATGTTGCCAAGAAAGTTAATGTTTTGCTTGAGTTAGGCATGATTAGGACAACATTGTCAGCTCTGGTATCTTTCCCTCACTTGCACTGCCAGTGTGTGCGTGCACTCGTTCCTAATCAAATTATATTTACTTAAGCTGCTACTGATGAGTGGGGAGGAAAACAAACTCTTTACATACTCAGAGACACTTTGAATAAGTGTATACAAATTACTGGTATGAACCAATTTTACATTTCTCATCAAGCAAGTTCTGGAAGTGTAAGAGTCAGTTCAGGTTCTTGAAGAAGCCTGTTCCTGACCTAAAACTAGTCAGTGGGAGAGTAGCCTTTAATATTCACCTGCATCCCTGGAGGTGTCCAGGCATGTGATTGGCCATTTTTATATCATAAAAAGGGTATCTGGAAAGGGGTTATGATGGTCTGGGGTGTTGGAAAATGTGGGAGTACAGCTGACCAAGATCTAGACAGGGTGTCTCTCACTCCCCCCCCCCGGTAAAATTGTGTGTTCCTGTATTACAGTAAGAAGCCTTATAGATAAGTATACTTATTAGGTGAGCATGCTCATGTGTCTGCCCTTTCATGCGATTTTACGTGACATGCTAGATCAGTGAGCTGCGGGACATACAGCTGAAAGTGATTTCTTGTGGATGCTGTCTGAGAGTACTATTTCTTGTTTGCAGCACAGCAGCATACCACTATCAAACAATGATGTCATAGCAGCTACTCATCATGAAACATCCTTACATGGTTGCACAATAATGTAAATGTCAGCCACCAAAATATCTGAGAAATAGAACTGGTTTGGGTGACCCTTTGAATTTTAATCCATTACTTCCAAGGGTCTGTACAATTTTAACTCTTTTCTTTTCTGCCCTTTGAAAAGGACTTTCTGATTCTGATGAAAATTGCAGAAGATTTATGGATAGATGTATGCCAGAAGCTTTCAAAAAGGTATGTATGGGAGAATGGCACAGTTTGAACTGTTGTGGATAGGACTGATGGTTGTATATGACTCAAAATAAAGATTTACATCTTTTTGACCAAATGCTACTGCAAGTACCGTATTTTTCGCTCCATAAGACGCACCTCTCCATAAGACGCACCAAATTTTTAGGAGAAGAAAACAGGAAAAAATCTGTTTTCTTCTAAAAATTGATGAGCCTTATGGAGAGGTCCGTCTTATGGAACACAACTTAGGACCTTTTGGAGGCTCCCCCAGCTCCCCCTGAAGGCCAGAGGGGGCAAAATCGCCACCTTCTGGGGCTCTTTTGAGGCTTGGGAAGCTTCAGAAGAGCCCCAGAAGATGGCGATTTCACCCCCTCTGGCCCCGTGCGGGGGTGGGGGCAGCGTGGCAAAGGTCCTGGAAGGCTCTCTCGGACCCTTGCCACGCTGCCCCCACCCCCCCACGGGTGCAGGGGGGTAAAATCGCCAGCTTCTGGCAGTGTTTTGAGGCTTGGGGCCAGTGGGGGCGAAGTCACCATCTTCGTTCCATAAGACGCACAGAGTTTCTACCCCTCTTTTTTGGGGGGGGAAAAGTGCATCTTAACGGTGCAAAAAATACGGTAAATTGTATTGAATATCATCACCGAGTATCAAATGTAATAGTTGGGTACACATCTGTTAACTAAAGTTAACTTTTGCTTAAATAAAAATGTCAATATTTCAGTGCCTTAGGCACTAACATATGGATTACTGCTATCATTGTGACATATACTATGCTCCCTTTGCAGCTGTTAACATCAAGTGCTGTTCATAAATGGGGTACTGAAATCCATGAGGGAATCTACAACATGTTGATGCTTCTAGTAGATCTGGCTGCAGAGCGAATAAAGCAAGATCCTATACCTGTTGGTCTTCTGGCTGTACTTACAATGGTACTGTAATAACTTGATCTTCTTGAGGCTGTTTAAAATAGAAGTGTTGAAACCCAGTATCTGTACATTTTTAAATGCATATATTTTTTTAAATGTAAAATCTGAGACTGAATTTTTTTGGCTTCCTCCTGTCTGCATAAAGACTGTTTTGAGATATCATGCCAAACCATGGTAAACAAGGCTTTTAACAGTGATTTAGTGTGCTGCTTGAATAAACAGGCACTCTCAACCAGCAAACTGGTCAGAAAACATGGTTTTCAAGGAATCTGACTAAGTTGCCATGGTAGCTGAATTTAAAAAAAAAACAATTATGGCTATTCCTCATTTCTGGAGGCTTTCCGTCAAGCAACTTCAAACTGTTGTTTGGAAGCTCTGTTCATCCTTTGGGTTTTAAATGGTTAGTATAATAGTTGCATGGCAGGCAGTCAGAGCCTGTGTGTATATACTAACATTCCATTATTGAATAGTTTGCATATTTCAAATCACATATTGTAGCATGAGCCACAGCTTCCAAAATGAAATAAATGGAATTGTACTATCAAAATGATCAGCTGTGTTATATTATTGGTAAAATTTGGTTTGATTCTTTCCAGTAATATAACCAGCGTTCATCTAGCCTAGAAAATTTCTGCTTCCTTGGGCAGGAAAATGAAATTAAGCTTTATCAAAGGCATTGCTATTTTCATTATCTGTTTGGAACAGTAGTTAGCAGCATGATTTTTTTTTCAAATTATAAGCATGATTTGAATATAACTTTTCAAGTCTCCTTTGTTTTGAATTTGTTATGCAGAATTGTGCTATTTAAGCAGGAGTCTCTCCATTTATACAATGGTGGTAATTGAGATACATTGGGTAGACATCTTCTAATGACTGATGAAATAAAATGCTTCAATTGCTAGTGGGAAACAATGTAAATAAAGAAAAATTTCCAGTGCAGTTCTGCACATTTCTGCTGAGAAGTAGGTACTATTGGGTGTATCAACCCAGAACTTTAGTGGAACTTAATCCCTGGTAAATACTTGTATAGAGTTATTGATTTCAGCTTCTTCCTGATGCAAAAGAACTGCACATGGATTAAAGTTAAATTTCAATTTCTTTTTAAAATGAAGTCCAGAAGTTTTAAGTCACACATTCATGCTTGTCAGCTAGTTTAGCAGAATATTGTTCACATGTAGGGTTCTACTTTTTTGCTGTACTTTCTAACACAGACAGAAATTGGGGCCATCAGGTTCATTTGTGATGCCACTGCTTTTGCTCAGACGCAAAGGAATGTGCCTCTGCTCTCCTAGTGCAAAAAGTAGGACTCCAGCTCTCAGAATACCTCAGCCAGCATAGCCACTGTCACTGACGACCATGCTATTTTGGGGCGTTCGGAAATTCATGCCAAAAAAAGAACTTTGTTCATCTCTGAATAAGGGAGGTTTCTGGTATCAGATACTGTTCACCAGAGATTCAGTATTCAGCACCTAAGAGATCATGCTTGTTATCATTGATGAATATCCCATGGGAAAGAATGGTAAGACGCATACAGATTTGAATCTGTGCCTTCTGGTAGGCCTCACGAGTCCTACTACTGAACAATAGCTGCAGGATTTTATATCCCCATTTATCAGTCTCTTTCTCCTGCAGGAAAGTGATAGGAGCATCCCCCCCATCCCCAAGTTTTCCTCCTAAGTATGTGAGGAGGTAGGGATCGTATAATTGAAAACATGCCTTGTTAAAATTCTCAGGTATAACTGTCATCTTTCTATGTATGCATATCAGGATAGTATATACATAAGCAAATGCAGACTTTAAAGTGCAAAGAAAAATGAGTTCTGTTAATTCTTAAGTATTGAGCTATTTAGACATTACTTTGTAAAGGCTTGTGTACTAAACATTTTCTGTCTCTTTCTTTGAAAGGAGTAGTTGGTAATTAATTGGTTTATTAATATATTTAGACAATGAATATGTATGCAATGCATCTTCTTTGAATTGTCTTGAACATTGCTAACTGTGTGTCTCTGTTTTTTTTCATACTCCTTTATCTAGGCCTTTAATCCTGACAATGAGTACCATTTTAAGAATCGAATGAAAGTGTGCCAAAGGAACTGGGCAGACGTATTTGGGGAAGGGAATATGTATGCTGTCTCACCCATTTCCACCTTCCAGAAAGTAAATATGTGTATATTTCCTTTATTCAATGTAATATTTAACAAACTGTGTTGTACATCTGTCACCTGAAAGAAGTATGGCCATTTTCCTGCCTTATGCGTCTGACACAGCTTTCAGGCTGTTTTACAGTCAATGGCTTTTGATGTATTATTGTTTTGCTAGTTTGGCTATGATAAGGACTTATTAATTATATCCAGGAAAACAGACAAAACTACATGGTAATGATACTGTAGCAGTGCCATCCTAATAGCCCTTCAATTTGTTTGTTTGTTTTAGTATTTTTACCCCTTTGTAGTGATACAAAAAGAGGGATGTGGTGGCACCGCGGGTTAAACCGCAGAAGCTTCTGTGCTGCAAGGTCGGAAGACCAGCAGTCGTAAAATCAAATCCACGCGACGGAGTGAGCTCTCGTCGCTTGTCCTAGCTCCTGCCAACCTAGCGGTTCAAAAGCATGTAAATACAAGTAGATAAATAGGTACCACCATAGTGGGAAGGTAACATTCCATGTCTAGTCGCGCTAGCCACGTGACCACAGAAACTGTCTATGGACAAATGCTGGCTCTACGGCTTGGAGACGGGGATGAGCACCGCGCCCTAGAGTCGGACACGACTGGACTAAATGTCAAGGGGAACCTTTACCTTTACCAGAGATACAAAGGAAGCAATATAATATCTTTAATTTTCTGTTTTAATCAAAGAAGTTTCAGCTAGGGGACTTTCAAAAAAATTTTCACATCATTTGTCCCTACCAATGTCCGAATGCTGTTTGGAAAACTACAGAGGAGTTGATTTACCAAATCCCTGCTGAGTCAGTGGGCCTGCTCTAGTTGCAATTCAATACTGGATTGCAGAATTTGTGGCATCTTTAAAACTAACAAATATATTTCCTTATGAGCTTTCATGGGTTACTATCTACTTTTACAGACACAAAGAAGTGGGGTTGTAACCACTACTCCATTATGAGTTAAGGTTTCTCCTCCTCTAGCAGCCTTAAACTCTAGATTTATCACAACATTCTAATTTATGTATTCTAGAAAGCTTTCATGGCTGGGATCTGATGGTTGTTGTAGGTTTTTTGGGCTGTTTGGCCATGTTCTGGAGGTTTTTCTTCCTAATGTTTCACCAGTCTCTGTGTCTGGCATCTTCAGAGGACAGGAGATAGAACTCTGTGTTCTGGTGTAGTGTGTGGGATAGTTTGGAAATGCTGGTAAGTGAATAGTGCTAATCAGAACAACAGGACAGCTTAGAAGCCTTTTCTGAAGAGCTTTTAGCAGCAATATAGTATTTTCTATTTGCAGCAACCATGAGTGTAATCTAGAGCCCTAAACAAATTTAGAATACCAATATTTTACAGATTGCCTATATTACAAAATTTTGCTAATTTCTTAACTTCTCAATTGACTAGGAACCACATGGATGGCTTGTGGACTTAGTGAACAGGGTAAGTGAATGTAAATATTCTTTACTCAAAGATTAAGTGTGTAGTTTGTGGACTTAGCAAACAAGGTAAATAAATAGAAAAGCAGGAAAGTTTGAGGGGAAGGAAGTTTACAAATAAGGACTGACATAACATGAAGACCATATGTAGAAACATGAAAGAGGCGAATTTGTGCTGGGTATAGAAAAAAGTAGGAAGCAAATGACGGGATTGAGTAACTGGATAAATAAATTATTTTGGCATCAGAGTAACTGATCTTTATCACTGTTTTGGAGAGCCTAAAGTTCGGTGTGATGTGGTAGATAGAGTGATGGGCTAGGACTCAACTTTCCCCACTTGGCCATGGAAACTTGCTAGGAGGTGACACTATTAAAAAAACTCCTTAAATATCTGACAGGCCTTGAAAACCCTAATGGGGTTGCTATACATTTGATGCAACTTGACAGCTCATAGTAGAGTTCTGTGTAAATCCCTGCTCAGAATATGGTGATGATGTGTGTCATTGCTTATACATATTAAAATTCATACTATAAAATATTCCTGGGGGTGAAAGCATGACCAAAAAGGAATCAGGTTTTTAAGGAGAGAACAGGTACTGCAACAACATTACTTGCGTTGTCCATTCTTAAGTTATGTGGGCTGGTTTTTAGTTTTGCTCTCTATTACTGGAATAGTAAAGTTCTCAGACCCAGGACATCCATTTCCAATGATAGGTGATATGAAGGAACCAATGCTTGTCTGGGCATGTCCCTTTCTAAGGCCTGCTGGTCAGATTTGGCCACTGGTGTCCCCAAACTGGTCTTAGAAGTTCACCAGGAACCCTGTCTCCTCAGGTAAGAGATGGAGCTGAAGCAGGATCTCTGCAACTGGAGAGCCAGCTTTATTTCCCTTAAGAACTGCATGTACAGTACTGGAAAAGTAGGTGCAAAATGCATCGCAGTCAACAATTGATTCAAGAGCTGACAAAGTCCAGAAGTCAGAACTCAGCCAGTTCTCAAGTTGTCAGTTGAGGTTGCCTTCCTCAAGGAGGTGGAGTAACACACACCAAGCTTAGCATTTGAGTACCTGTCTTACTTTCAGTCTCAGAACTCAGCTGTTTCTTGAAATGCTAGCTAACTGCTCTGTCTTGACCGTCCTGTGCTGAGAGGGGGGAAAGGGAGTAAAGTTGTGTCCCTGGCCATAGTAGCATGGGAAGCCAGTGGTGTTGGGTGTGGTCATGTCCTGATGTCATCCAGCTATAGGAGAAAGGACCTGTCTTATTGACGAGAATCAACTCTTCACCCTTGAACTAAAGTTTTCTACCTTTTGTCTTCCTCTAGTTTGCAGAATTAGGTGGGTTTTCTGCAATTCAGTCAAAACTTCATACAGAAGATATCGAACTTGGGGTAAGCTAAGCATTCTTTCTTAATCTTTCACAATGGACTACTGTGGTTGATTTATTCTAAATTTCCCATTGCTATAACGTTAATGTAGACACTAAATGTTTCTGGGGGTGGACTGGTTTTAGCAGTGTTAGTCCTGTTGCTTCAAAAATAACAAGAGGCTTGTAGCAGCTTGAAGACTAAAATGTTTTATTTGACATAAGCTTTTGCTGACTCTAGCCCACTTGTCAGCTAAAGAAAAGGGCTATGGTAGATGAGAGTACCTTTATTTTGTGCCAGATGGTAAGGTAGTCTTTAAGGTGCCCAAAGAATCCTTGTTTGTTTAAACTGTTACATTGTGAAAAGGCTGTAAAGTTACATTGCCAGTGACCTGTATATGATATTTGAGCTGTAGAGACTTGCGTCTTGTTTAAGGTTGGATATTTATATTTTTTTAACTGCAACACCCAGAAATCTGCTGGAATTGCCTTAGCCAGAATGCTGGGACTTTAGCCCTCTCAAAAAAAAGCCCTCTCAGGTGTATGATATAACTTGCAGGTGCTGCATCGATGAGAAGAGATGCCTCAGTTAGGAGTATTGCAATATCCCTGCCCCTCATGTACCTTTCCAGAAACTACAGTACCACAGTGCCTAGCAGTGCCACGGAGTTTAGCCCCACCCAGCCGGTTCCTCTGCTTTAGAAGTGAAGAGATCTTTTTTTTAATTTATGCACTGGCTGTAAGTTCTTTCAA